AGGCGACACGTCATACATTTTCAGAGCAGGAATTTGGGCTGACATTTTCAATATGTTGTTTTATATAGCGTGCAGGGCTCCATGAGCACCTGAGTGTGTGTGTGTGGTGCGTGTGTGTGTGTGTGTGTGTGTGTGTGTGTGTGCAGTTTGGCATTTACGTTTTGTATATTGCACATGCTTTTTTTTCCGACTGTATACTCGTGTTTGTGCACATTTGAGACTCATATTTTCTTTTTGTCTCTCCAGTGTTTTGAACAGGACCCCAGTTCATCTCATCCATGAGATCATTCTGGTGGACGACTTCAGTGACGACGGTGAGACACACACACACACACACACACACACAATCCAGGTCTCTTCCAGGTCAGGGATAACAAAGGTGAGACCTACATAACGGGTGAGAGCAGCAGCTGGGTCCATCGTATCAGGAGTACAATGAAGATGAGAAGAGACCTCCATTCTGGGTCAGAGAGGAGACGGCTGAGCTCTTCTGCAGATTGAAAGACAATCGTCACATTTTCCACCAAACCCAGATGCTGGTGGGTTTTTTTGTCCAGTGGGAAAGAGGCTATGCACATAACAAGTGGGATAGAATGGAGATACTGAAGTGAATTACAAGTGCCTCTAAAGTGAATGTGAGTAAATGTACTGAGGGACAGTCAGACAGTCGAAGCCTCGAACACTCTTACAACAGGAGAGCAATCACAGAAATACTTTCTTTCCCGCCGCTGGAAAATAAGTTCTCCTCCATATCTACCGAGCTGACCTCGATACCATCAAAAACAATACGTCTGCACTTTGCTTTTTATGGCCGGGGAGCACAGCGGTGATAAGAAAATACAGCCGTGCAACAGAAAACCCATCGACGAGCGTATATCGGAGTACAGTGGAACCAGGTGGAACCAAAAACCCCGATAAGTTTTGATTTGTTTCTGGAGCTTTAGTTCAACAGCACGGTTTATTCATCTGTGTTCGAGGTGTTTATTCCTCCTCCTCCTCGGAGTAACTTTAAGTTACACTTTAAAGGATTTCAAGGAAACAACAGAGAAGGTAATAATAACTTTAAATGGTTTGGTTTAGAAAATCAAAATGTGACGTACACACAGCAGAGTTGTGTGACGGACTTGTCACATCACAAATCGGGGAAACATATTGAGTAAGTGAAACTTTAAAGTGCTTTTACAATAACGTCAGTACAAGAAACGCAGATACAAAGCGCTTGAGGAAGGTCTCTAAGACGTTTTCCCACATTTCAGTGTTGGTGAAATACAGAGTTTCAACTAGAAAGAAAAAGAAACGTAAACACTTCCACAGTTAGGGCGAAAGCATCAACGCCAATTACTCCACTGAGGAAAAGTCCCACTCTGCAGAACAGCTCAGTGCCTGCTGACGGTTCACCACAGTCTCATCATCAGAGACACCTGCTGAGTCAACCTGACAGCCAATCAGGACAGATGGTGCAGAAGTGAAAATCCAAGTAATGAAGGTTAAATCGTGCCGGATTTAGACAAAAAAAGCAGATGAGGCAGCAGCGGAGAGATGCAATCAGCGCAGGAGACGGATACGTGCAAGTAAACAACCAGAGATGTGGAAACGAGCAACAACAGCATCGACGGTGTTAAAGAAACTGTATGTGCAACACATCACCACAGAGTGTGAAGGCTGTGATACAGAACTGTTAAAGAACGTCATGTCCGCCCACACGGCAGTGTGTCATTTAAATGATGGTCCATTTAGAGTCAAACAGACCATAAAGCCGGGTCTGCTGTAGGGCGGGGCTACACGGCGATTGTCTGGGAGTTGTCCGTGTTTTCTTCTGACAGCGTTAACCCTAAAAAAGTTGTATTCAGAGTTGGGTTGCATTTAGCTCCACCCTCTTGTGTAGCTCCACCCTCTTGTGTAGCTCCTCCCTCTTGTGTAGCTCCACCCTCTTGTGTAGCTCCTCCCTCTTGTGTAGCTCCACCCTCTTGTGTAGCTCCACCCTCTTGTGCTGCTTCTGGTTGCGAAAACTAAGATGGCCACGACCAAAATGCAGAACTCGAGACTTTAAATGACAGGAGGACTTTGTACACCTCTTAAATGCAGTCTACGCTATTGTTGCAGTAAATAGTTAAACCCTTGATGTCCTGACTGAACCTTTGGTTAAAAACTGTAGTTTTTGAATCGCGGGTCGAGACTTTTAATCCTCATAATGGGTGAAAAGATTTCTGTCTGGGTCAAAGCGTTTTTCTCGCCTTTTCTCACAAAGTGAAGGAGGAGTTGAGCGGAGAGGAGAGCGACCAGCCGTTCCTTCTGGGTCAAAGAGCTCTGATGGAGGTTTTCACTCATTCGGGGCCACGACATTTTTGAGAAAAATAAATAGTTGTTTTCATATCACAATAGTAGAAAGACTGCTAAAGAACTTACAGGTCAACTACTTGCACTTCTGTTTCTTTTCTCTCCTTAATTAAATTAAGTAATAGTGAATTATCAATTAGTGATTTATTGATACGTTATGTTTTCACGTTTGTAAGGAGCTCAGGAAAACGTGATAAACTGATCACATCACCATAAAATGATAAGAACATGATGATATATAAGGTCGTCTTCTTGCATGTTTAAATGCCAGATAATAATTATTATAACTTAGGATGAGCTGAAAACATATGCTAATTTATCAACTGAAATATGTTTGAGCAACTCTTTTATTAATAAATCATTTAAGACGATTGTTTCTTTAAATGAAAAATGCTAAATATTCTGGTTTCAGCTTCTGCTTTTCTTTCTTTTGACTAAACATTCAACCTGAAAACGTCCCGTGTGGTTTAAATAGTGACGCTTACGTTTTACTGTCGTTTAGCATTTTGGGACTAAACGATGAGCCGGATAATAAACCTGAACAATAATGAATATGACCCTTTATATATATATTCAGCACTTGTTACTTTACTTCTCAACGTTTCTTCAACTCTCTGGTTTTCTCATTGTTTCCTCACTATTGTGGACTTAATGATTTGCACTTTTCATAAATAATAAAGCAGAATTGAATCTCATTTGGATTTGTAAGAACAGGCAATATTTTAAAAAGCCATTATTGTTCCAAATCTTGCATGAAATATTAATTTCACTTCTGTAAATGACTCATATCCCAGCTGCTCACTTCTTTTCTTATTATCTTTTCATCATTTTGACACTTTTCTTTCTCAACATGAATTACAGTCAGTTATATTTGAAATAATATATTAATTCTGCTCTGAGCGCACAGTCGGCTGAACAACTGAACAGCAACTAAACACGTGTCTGAGTCGTCAGACTGAAAGCCGTCCTGCTGCTGCTGCTAATTTCCCTCCAGAGTGAAGAAATGATCCGGACATATAAAGCAGCGCACAGTATTCTCTTCTATTATCTTTATAATTCTCTTCATTACAATAATTGCTTCTGGTTGTTGTTTTCTTTCAGAAAGTGACTGCCAGCTTCTCACCAAACTGCCCAAAGTCAAATGTCTTCGCAACAACAAGAGAGAAGGTGTGTCGGCATGCTTTTGAGAATTTACATCAGCATTTTAATCATGCTTGTGTATGTGTGTGTGTGTGTGTGTGTGTGTGTGTGTCTATTTGCATGTTTAATTTACCACACTGCTTTTGTATTTGTTTGTCTCTGCATACTTTTGTCAGCAGTATGCTGTGTGTGTGTTTGTATAAAGCTATTTTTGCGTGTGTTTGTGTGAATAATAAATTGGCTCAGGGTTGGCCTTTTACCTCCCTCTGCCTAAACATTTACAAATGTAAACACAGACAGACAGACAGACAGACAGACAGACAGACATGCAGACACACAGACAGACACACAGACACACAGACAGACATGCAGACACACAGACAGACAGACACACAGACAGACACACAGACAGACATGCAGACACACAGACAGACACACAGACAGACACACAGACATGCAGACACACAGACAGACACACAGACAGACACACAGACAGACACACAGACAGACAGACACACAGACAGACAGACAGACACACAGACAGACACACAGACAGACAGACAGACAGAAAAGTGAAGTGAAATGGATTCATTCATCTGTGGCTTCTTATGGAGCTGGAGAACTGTAATGACCTGAAGTGAATTGAAGTGACAGGAGCCGCCGTCGAGATGGAGCCCAGAGAGGCAGAAAGAGACGCCGACCGTCACAAAAGAAATGTTACTGGAGAGGAAATGGCTTCCACAAATTCAAAAGCAACTCCACAAACCTGACAAATGTTTGACTTCTTATTTCTCTGTGACACACGGTGAGAGAGTTAATGTCTCGATCACACTAAATGTGGATGTTCCTCATTTGAGTTTTTAATGCGGCTGTGCGTCACGGCCGTGCTGATCATCTCTCTATATAATCCGTTTGGAGCAGCCTCCGTGCTCTTAAATATAGAATGCTAATGAATGCTACACACAAATCAGCGTGACAGCTGCACAATGTGATGGGCTCATGGACGTTTAGGGAACGAAAGGGAAGACACACCAATTAATAGATATCACCATGAAACTTCCCCACTTCATTACACTAAGACAGTTACTTTGTGGAGGACAAGTTTTCTGAAATGTTATTTTTAAATATGAGGCTCTGAATGATGTGTGAACAACCCCCTCTGTGTTAACCTTCAGAGCATAGAGAGGAATGAAAGTGTAACTTACATATGCAAATAAGGCTCATTATCTCATGGTAACTTTAGGTGAATTTAGTAGAAATATGCAGATGCGAAAGTAGTAAAATAAACACATAAATATGTATTTTGGATGTTTTCTTTCCACTTGTCTGAAAGAAAAAAGCATGATGGAAAAAAGCCCAAAATCTCAAAATTGACGAGTGAATGAAAAACAATGTTTCTGCACGAGATGCCATGTCTCCTTCCCCCCCAGGTGCTATTATTAATATGCTTAATATCATATATATCTCTGGCTGCTACACTTCCCGTGCACACTTGCAGTCTCGTACTTGCGTGCACTCCGTGTGAATTTCCATTTTCTGGTCTCTAGCTCGGTGATTCATGGTGCTGATGTGTCGCTGATGCTGTCTTTTTGTATTCTGGTTGTTTTATGGGAACTCTGGGTGCAAAACAGATTTCCTCTGGTGGGACGATAAAGATAAGCTATGAGATATGAGGGGGAACAACTCTGATGTGAGAGTACAAGTAACGAATATACAAAGTCATCATAACAGCCATGAGCCACGGTTCTGAGGATACTGCAATCTGATTGGCTGGAAGGTTTCAGAGTAACGTTTAGCAACCGGACATTATAACTAGACTCTGTGTGATAGATGCACCAGTATTTAACCGTACATTGTACATTCATTTGCTGAATATCTCAAGATTTAACTGTAATATTTCAGACTTAATTACACTATTATCACTTCACAGGCTTTGGTATTTCACAATAGTTTCCTCAGCATTGTTGAATCAATGGGAGAGGGACTATTACACAAGACATTTAAGTTGTACCTGTGTGAGGCATTGTGGGATTACTATACTGTAATTCTACAACAGCATACTGCTATATCACAGTAGTTTGATGCCAAAAACTGACTGTCAAGTCACAGTATATCGCCGTCATTTCACTATAATTTACTGTACAAATGTCACAGTAACTTGATGTGAAATGTATTCTGCCCGAAGCAGCAACCGGTTGTCGTCTCACGGGAATACAAACAATATGAAAAGCTGCAAGTTGCACCTGATGGATTTCTTTGCGTCACAAACGTTCTGACAGCGCTATAACTTCAGCAGCCCAACACTTGTTTAAACCCTCACAGCAGCCCGTCCGTTTCATCTTCCCTGGGCGGTTCGGATTACCGCCTCACTCTGAACTGACCTCGGCACAGTTCTCCTGCAAAGTCACGTCTCACTGCCGTTTATTTTGTGCCACCCAAGTTCAACAAGCCGCTCTCACCGAGACAACAGAAAACACTCAGAGACCACTTCCAACGGGCTCGTTGTTGTCTCGCCGACAGCGGTGCCGTTTGATCCGGGATTACTGCACAGAAAGAAAACACCAGTTCATCCCTCGTTCCTGCAAACCTTCCTCCCCGCATGTCTCACACTTTCTTCCTCACATGTCATATTTTCATCTTTCTTTATAGTTCCAATTTGTTTCTTGTGTTTTATAGTCGCTCCTTTCCTCTCTCTCTCTCTCTCTCTCTCTCGCTCTCTCTCTCTCTTTTAACAACAGGAACACTTGTCCTACATGCCGTCGCTGAAGGATTTCATTATAGCACAGTCATGCTGATCACACACACACACACACACACTGGCAAGGTTCATCAGTTCGGCTAGTTAATAGTTTATTGCTTCAGGCCTTCTGACTTGATTGTCTTTTTAATGCCCATAAAAGCTCTCCAGGCTTACACTATATGTCTTCTCTGACACACTCGCACACATAAATACATACTTACTATACTTGTGAGGACCCTCATAGGCGTTCACTGACATTAGCCGAAACCTAATCTAAAGGTAGTTTATTCCAGCTTTGCTGAATTTGGTCAGCGAGGACTTCTTAAAGCTACGGTTGGTAACTTTAGTAAGAAAAGCTCAAACTGTCACGATATCCTAAGAGACAGATACTCTGTGAAGAACTGCGGTTCATCCGCCTCCTCTCCTCTCTTTTGTGCCTCCTCGTCTCCTTGATTCTCCGACTTGTGACCCTGGAATCGATCCCAGCGCGCCATCTTGAAAGACGTTCAGATTCCTAGAGTACATCTCGAGGAGCGAGGATGGAGGATTTAGGAGGCTTGTCAGAGGAGCTGTAATCGAGCTGTGTATCCTTTGCGGAAGTGTTTTCGGCACCCGTGACGTACAAAGAGGTGCGACACACAGCTGGAAAAATCTCAAACCAAACAAAAACCGTTCTCTCACCCAGGAGAGCGCCGCTTGTTCCCCGTGTGAAACCAGAGATCAACATTGATTCATTTGTCACGTAACTGCCGTATTTGAGTAACGCCACCTCTGTAGTTATTTTAACTCAAACCACAATCTTCCTAAAACTAACTAAGTAGTTTACTTTGAAGACGGAGGTTTATTTTGAAAATGAATGTAACGAGCAGAAATTGACATTTGTTGCTGGACTTTCTTAGGAAAACGCACAAACATATACAGTATATATGTGTGTGTGTGTGTGTGTGTGTGAAATAAAGATGCACGACATCTGAACATCCTTGTCAAATTACGCCACGTTTTGACTTGAATTTAAAGTAAATATATATTAGTTGTAATATAACTATAAGTTGTGGCACACGTCGTATTTAACTGACATTCTAAAAGTTTCTAAATCTTGAAAACAGTCGAGACAAAACCAAGCATGCTGAGATCATGTAAATAACATCAGTAGCACTACAAGGAGGCAGAGAAACCTGATTTTTCCACAGATTATCTGTCACATGTAGGCCTACTACACTCTCAGGATATAATGACAGTTTGAGCCAAAATGGAAAGAAATTATATTTGTATTAAACTTACCAACGGCAGCTTTAAAAGATTTTCGGTGGACTGTTCCTGTAATGCCTAAACCGATACTTAAAGGCATCTCTATGATTCAAACAAAGTGCTTGAAAGATAGCTGAGGAATAATAACACTTTTCCAGCGTTGATAGAGAACATTTTTTACTGTTTTCCAAAAAACAAAGAATCAAACATACATGCAGGGTAGATCTGAATCTCTAAATCGTCCTCAAAAACATACAACAGCACCAGGTGGCAACCTCCGGTTCTGAAAAGTGCCTGAACCTGCATTCTCTCTAGTGTCCAGCAGGGGGCGACTCCTCTGGTTGTATAGAAGTCTATGAGAAAATGACTCTACTTCTCTCTTGATTTATTACCTCAGTAAACATTGTAAACATGAGTTTATGGTCTCAATCTCTAGTTTCAAGTATTCTTCAATACAGCATGATATTCATTTAGTACATTATGGTCCATTTAGAGTCAAACAAACCATAAAGCAGGGGATGCTTTAGGGCGGGGCTACACAGTGATTGACAGGTCTCTACCAGAGACGTATACGGCGTCTCTACGTCACTCATCCTCAGTCCATATATGGTCACTTCCTGTTCATCGGTTGCAAAAAAGCCAAGATAGCGACAACCAAAATACCGAACTCAAGGCTTCATAACGGCAGTCCACAAACCAATGGGTGACGTCACGATGACTATGTCCACTTCTTATATACAGTCTGTGAATAGCACACACACACACACACACACACACACACACACACGCACACACAGCTGTGATGGGAAGAGACAGTTAAGAGTTATCAGTGTACATCAACACTCTCCCCTTTACAAAGTCAGGCTGTCCTGCACTGTACGTGGTGTGTGTGTGTGTGTGTGTGTGTATCTATCTGAGTAAATGTCCACATGTGTGAGTGTGTGCATGCTTGCTTGTGGCTCCAGTGTGTGTGTGTGTGTGTGTGTGTGTGTGTGTGCGCGTGTGTGTCCATCCATCCAGAAAATAAAGCCTTATTGAGGTTGAAATGGGATTTTTAATTGGCTGAGCCTCGGCCTAACAGCGCAGCGTGAAACTTCACGGCCCTTCGTACAATGTCACCGACACACACACACACACACACACAACCACACACACACACACACAATGGACCCAAATACACAGTCATGCTAACACACACATACACACACAACATGGCACGCCCAGCCTTGTGCGCATGTGTACACACGTATTCAAAAGAGCCCCCACACACACACAGAGTACCTCTCCATGTCAGGGAGTATTGATTAGACCATTTAGTCCAAATGGAGGAGAACACTGGCCCCCATCAGGGAGACCTCCCTAACAGGCTCATTTCAACACACACACACACACACTCTTTGTACAGCACGACCACAATCAGCTGACACACACACACACACACACACATGCAGAGTGTGATGGGCCTGTTAAAAGCTTATGTCCATGTCTGACAGGGCCTCTAAGAGCCCGGCATCGATTTCCCCTTTTGCTGACTGACTGAGAGAGCAAGAGGGTGAGGGAGATAGGGGATGTGAATAGGTTGAGCAAGGCACTAACGATGCCCCTTCCAATGTCTGAGAATACTCTCTGTGAGTGTGAGTGTGTGTGGGGTGGTGGATGCGTGTAACTGAGTCACAGCTCGAGAGCGTGAAAGTTGAATATATACTGTCTTATCCGATCAGCCGCCCTGAAAGGAATCAATTTCAGCAGGCAAAGTGGAGCATTTCAATTTAGCAGAGAGCGGCTCTGACGACTCCGAGGCTGTACGTTCGATATCAGCTGTATGGTAGTGTGTGTGTGTGTGTGTGTGTGTGTGTGTGTGTGTGTGTGTGTGTG